CGGAGACGAGGCCCGGGGCCCTGCTGGCCGCTCTCCCCGGGGCTTCAGTCCCGGGCCCCGCAGGGCTGCGCCCCGGCGCCCCGGGGGGCCCTGCTGCCGGCCTGCTTTCTGTTTGCGGCTGATCTTTGGCTCGCACGGCCGCTGGCTTTGCCTGCCTCTGCTTCCTTTCAGGCCTGCGTGTCCCTCGCTGTTCCTGGAGCTTTACGCGTCCGGACGGCCGAGAGTGCCTCCCGCCACCCCCTCCCTGTGTTTTCTCGAGGTCATCTGGGTGCTTCTGTGTTCCCGAGCTCACTGCAGGACGATTGCTTCTCTGGGCTGCGTGCTCCTCCTGCTTCTTTCCGGGACGCGTTGGGCGTCCCTATCCGTGTTGAAGTCCCTAAGCCTATGGCTTTGGTCTGTGCGTTTTCCTGTGTCTGTACTTTTTTTCCGACGCTTTCAGGGAACCATTGCGTTGTGTTCGTCTGGAAGGCCAAGATGGTACAAGTATAGGTGTTTCTACACGTCCCTCCAGCCACTTCAAAGCCTGGCACAGCGCGCACAAGTGTGTGTACACAGCCCGAATCCCTTACCTAGCGGGCAGAGGCTTCTGATGTTCTGTTTAGGAGGACTGCGCCCTCAGCCTGTTCTTTCCTGTAGAGTTTTCCACGGTGATACAAATCAAGTAGGATGTTGATGGTGTCTCTGGCTGTTTTGCTTGTGGGAATGCCGTGGTCTGTACACCTAAAAGTTTAGCGGGTGAGACCATTTCCTGATCGCTATGCCCTCTGACTGTGGCACTCACATGCCCACCAGTTTTCTGGCTTATTTCGCAGGTGGACGTAGAATAAAATAGAGTTATGAAAGAATGGCTTCCTCTCTGACAGAGCGTTGAAGCAGCTGTGTTTCAGAGACTATGCTGCTTCCGCCCTGTTACACTGAGGGGTTAAACACTAAACAATTCAGCAGCTTTTGGTGTGCTCTGAGCTGTCACGGAATATGCCAGAAACAGTAGGAAAAACCAAGACTGCCACTATACTTAGCTTGTATAAGCTAAGTATAGGTATACTTAGCTTGTATATTAGAAGTTTGATAGGCCCAGCAAAGCAATAAAAATAGGGAGGACAGCAAGTAAAAATGTTTAAACCAGAAGTGCCTCTATATCTAGGCTAGGTGGGAGAACTCAGTCCATGGTGTGAGAAGGTCCTTGATTCCTTTGGGGTAAGAGAAGTTTGTCAATTTCTGCTGCTTGGGCAGAAGCTGCGGGTCTCTGGAGTCGTACCGCCTGCCTGTGGGGAATGGGCAGTATGGTGCAAGGGAGGGCACTGCCCCCTCAAGGGGCCTGGCATCCCTACTGCCTCTTTTTTTTTGGTTTTTCTTGGTTTTTCTCCAGTACCGGGAACCGAACTCACGACCTTGCGCTTGCCAGGCAGGCGCTTTGCCGCTGAGCTAAATCCCCAGCCCCCCATACTGCCTCCTTGATTCCAGCTTTCCAGCCGTTTGTTTTCTCTCAGCCCGGGATCTTGTAGACACGACCTCTTCTGGTCCTGCCCACCCTGACTTTGTCAGCATTTTTGCTTTTAAGTCACCACCCTCCATTCAGTGATCCCTGGGCTTTTGTCCAGAGAGCTGTGTCGTTGAGGCTTGACCGGGCTTTTCACCTGATAGTAAGACGTAGTAAGCTTACAACTGACAACGTAGATCAGCCAGCGCCCGTCTGCAGGGTCTGTTTGAGAGTGGGAACTAGGATCGTCACCTTTCTCTCCCTTCGCTGTGCAGGTTCTGATTCTTAATTAATTTATATTTTTTCTTTTACATTTCTTGGTGTTTGCTCTTTGTTATCTGATCCGCTTAGGCTTGTCATTCTACCCTGAGATTTTGATATTTTATTTGGGGCTGTATTTCAGCTGAAAGCCTTAGAGAAGGAATGGTACTATGGAGAGAAGGTGGAATTTAGATTCTGACAGGGATAGATCAGAATTCTTCCTTTAGCACTTAAGGCAAAGCCGTGGGCTTATTAACCATCTTATGCTTCATTTTAATCTTGCTATGCTTCATCTTTACCTTTCCTAATGTCTGAAATGTAGAAAGTAATATTTAATAATACCTGCCTTACTGAGTTGTTGTGGAGATTGCATAAGGATAATATGTAGAAATCACAGCCCATGGAAGTGATGTGTGAAGGTGCTGGGTATGGGTTACTTTCCTTTCTAACAGTGCCTGACAGTTATGCATGTTGAGTGAATGAATTTACAATAACAAGGGATAAGGGTAGGTAAAGGTAAACAGATTCAAAATAAAGTCATTTTAAATCAAGAACTGTATCGGATGGGGGAAAATAAAAATTGGATCTGGGATTTAGGACCACTTTGATAGGAAGTAGTCCCTTTGAGATCCACTTACAGGCTGGGGAATGGTATAAGATACTGTGTCATACAGTTCTAGGGATCCTGAATACCATGACTAAAAACGTCACAGGGACCATCAGCATCACCCCTGGAGTTGCCACTGGCTTGGTCAGATGTCTTCATGAGACCACACGCCACAGTCCCAGTCTGACAATTCTGCCCTCTGATCCAGTGCTTGTTCTCTGAATGTGGCTCAGGCCCTTCGGGTTCTGCTGTCTGCCACCACCTATAACCAGCTTGTGACCCTTTTGGAATTGATTTTGAATTGAGTTGTTTTTTTTCCTAACTTGGCTGACTGTGGTGTTCCCATCTTCTTCAGATCCACCCGGACTTGGCACTGTGGTTCTTGGCATCATGTTTTACACTGATGAACTTTTACTTTTTTTTCCTCTCACTTTTGGTTTTCCCCTGTTTTTCTCAACCTGTGTGCATTGGTACAAGCATACATTTAGTGCTGTTTGAGGCATAAGTACGAGTCACCCCCCCCATGTTTTCTTTTATTTATTTACTGATAGGCATTTTTAGAACTCAGAGATGCAAAGACCAGGTCTCTGCTCCCAGTGAGCTCTCCGTCAAATCAGTGAGACAAGGAGGTAATGACCGGTGATAGTAGTCGGCTCTGAGTGGTACCGAGAGATGAACATAAGAGCAGTGGTAATGTGTAGGAGAGTGAGAGCAGCTCTTTTGGGGAAAGCCTGGCAGATAAAGAAATATTTGTGTTGATCCACCTTACAGAGAGACAAAAGTACTTGCACTGGTCAGCTTTCTGTCACTAGAACAAAATACCTGACACACAATTTGAAGAAAGAAAGGTGTATTTTTAGCTCATGGTTTCAGAGGTTTCCATGGGTTGGCTCATCCGGGACAGAAATACCTTGGAAGAAGGCCATGGAGAGGGAATGTTGCACTTCATGGCAGCCAGGAAGGAAGGAGCCAGGGGCTGGATACACCCCCAGGACCCACCCAGCAGAGTGCTTTATTATTCAAGCCAGTCAGGTTGACAACCAAGTTAACCATCACAGTACTCTGACCTTTTTGAGGGCAGAACAAAGTCACCCCACCAAAGAAAATAGACCATGCGGAAGTAAAAGCCTGAGTGCCTTCTGAGCAGGGGGTTACAAATAGTATGGGCTTAGCTGCAGGTGTGCTTAAGAAACAGCAGAGAGCGAGGCTGGAATGTTAGTCATGCGGCCAAGTCATCCTCATAGGCCATGCGTGTTACTGAGCTCCGGCACTGGATAATGGAGATGGACCTCCTCTGGAGAATTTTAAGCAAGGTCATAATGTGATAGGATTAGAAGTTTAGAAAAGCTGGTTATAATATGGAGAGTGGAATGGAGTGGGCAGTGAGACAAATGCAAGGAAGTCAGGTAGATAGATGCTATAGCAATTTGATGGAAGGTGAGACAAGCTAGCTAGATGTGGTGACACATACCTGTAGCCCCAATACTATGGGAGGCTAAGGCAAGAGTGTCAGTAGTTCAAGCCCAGCCTGGGTGACTTGGAAATTTAGCATGTGGCTGTGTCAAAATAATAAGAAAGAGGTTGTGATGTGGCTCCATGTGAAGACCCGGGTTCAATCCCCAGTACCAAAAAATAAATAAATAATTTAATAACTGACACCTCGAACTAACGCCAGGTCATTAGGTAAATGAGGGAGAGAGTGGGCTTAAGAGTCATGCTGATGCTCTTCAGAGGTAGAATCATAAAATCAGATTTTTTAAAAAATTGGTTATTGTAAGTGGGGGCAAATAGAATGATTTGCTCTGTGGAGTATTAATTGTGCCTGTGGAAAACAAATGCCTCGTCATATCCTGTGAAGGCCGTGAGGAAACCAGTCTTGTTCTTCCAGTGGCTGCCCGCCGGGCTCAATATTTCATTCCCAGAAAAATGATTTTCTACGTTGTTTGCATTGGGCTGGCCTTCCTCAGCCTAGCTCTTTCTTTCTTTCACTATGGATACTTTTCTGCAGGATTTAGAATGAAGCAGAGTGAAGACACACACTGGAGTGCCTTGCAGAGGAGCTTAGCCACAGCTGACATCGTGTGTGTCCTGGCTCGGTGTGTGTCCTGGTCTACCTGGCTCTTATGGGACTACCTATGGCCTCATGCAGACCTGGTAAGAGTGTTGGTTCTGGAGAGGGTTACTGAGGGTATGTTTTGCTTGTGAAAGGGATGTGTACACTAGCTCAAATGTTTCCAAATTCAAGCTTTCTCAGAAATCAAGTCAGGTGAGTATGAAGCGATGAGAATCTTACAAGTTAGAGAAGCAAAAGAGGCCAGGCACTTTAAGCTTAGGATTCTTGCAATGCTAGTTCATGTAGCGGGAGGCAAGAACTGTGGTGGGCTGCAGTGTGTGCTTTAGGAATACTAGGGAAATCGGGGAAGAGACTTCTGTGTTGAGCCTGGAAGGGTATTAGGGTAAAAGGAATGGAAGGCCAGCACGGGTAAA